CTGCTGCTCCAGCCAAAATATTGGCTTGGGGTTTTCTCTCCTTGAAAAAGTAGGTCCCCAACCTCCCTGGATTCAGCTGCCAGGCTCTGTCCTGCTGCTCAGAAAGCTCAGGCTGGTGCCCATCATCCCTTCTCCATCCTCCTCTCCTTCTTTTCTCCTCCACCTCTTTTCCAAAGCATAATCCCCAGCGAGGAGCTGCTCCGGGCAGCGGTTTATGGATTTTGGGTGGTGGGTGCTGAGTCATCTCTTTCACATGTTTATGGATTTTGGGTGGTGGGTGGTGAGTCCTTTCCCATCTCTTTCACATGTCAAATAACTAAGTCACCCTAAATCCCTTGGGTGGGGTGTGATGGGCCGCACGTGCTGAGTTACGGTGCAGCCACACACGATTCCTGCTGTCTCATCCCAGGATGCTCCTGGGGGCATCCGTTGGGATCTGTGGCCAGGCCAGCTTAGGGTGGAGCAGCTCAGCTTTAAGTGATTTACAGGAGTGGAAAAATGCTCCCCTGGGCGTTCAAGCTGCCATAAATCCTTTTAATTTAACTCCATGCACCCGTGCTTGGAGCTGTGTGGGGAGGGCCTGACGTGCTCCTGATTTATTTTCCCCTGTATCAGAGTCAGCTGTTATTCAGAGTTTTTGTGTGCTTGAGCTCTGAGAGTTTATAGATTTCCACTGGACCACTTTTAATCTTAATTAAAAGCGTAGAGGAAGAATTGTTTTATAAAGCTCATATTCCTTTTTCCATTGGACTGCCCGACTCTGCAGGTACCAGAGGGATAATCCGGGCCTGGCGCTGGCTCATTGCTCCTTGTCCCCTGTCCTGTGCTCCAATTAGATGTGACTAATTGTGCTGTAAATGAGGGGAGAGGTTTCCTCCCAGAGCATCTGATCAGAGGTGCAGGGTTGGCAATGCTGAGTTAGCAGGACTTGTGTTTCATTGCTGGTGCTGCCCTGGGGGGATTGCTCCATTCCCAGCCTTGTCCCTGGCTCCATCCTTGGCTCCATCTCAGCTCCATCCCCCGCCTCATCTGTGATGCCATCCCCAGCTCCATCCTTGGCTCACTCCTTGGCTCCATCCCTGAATTCATTCCCAGCCTCATCCACATCTCTGCCCCCAGATCCATCCTTGGCTCCATCCCCAGCCTCATCCATGTCTCCATCCCTGGCTCCATCCTTGGCTCAACCCTTGGCTCCATCCTTGGCTCAACCCTTGGCTCCCTCCCCAGCTCCATCGTCTCCTCCATCCCCAGCACTGGCTGCATCCAAGCACAGGAGTCAGCTGGAGGTGAGGCAGAGCCTCCAGGTCTGCAGTGGGTGCTGATTTGACCCCCAGGGCTGTCTGTAGCCATGAACTTGGTTTTATTCCTCAGCTATTCCCACTGAAATCAGCTGCAAATGGGGATAAACCCAAGATTGTTGGTACCATGGGATGGAGCTGCATCCAGCCTGAGCTCCAACCTGGACAGGGAAATGCTGCACTGCCCAGATAACTTCCAGGATTTTTGCCTCTGCACTTGAACTTGAGCATGCAGGCAGGATCTGCTGGTCCATGTGCTCCATCCAAGTCCAGTCAGGATGGCTCTGGGGTCAAACAGAGAGGGTAACCCCATGCTCAGTCAGATCCCAAGGGAAACACAGCAATTCCTGGAGAACCAGAGGGTTGGTGAGCATAAAAATAAACCAGGGAGGAAATAAATAAATAACCCCTCCTGCTTTGATCTGCTGCAGGATCTGCCAGACTGCCAAAATGGATTTCTAATTCCACAAAAAAATCAAACTGGCTCTTTTATTTTAGAAGATGGGCTAAAAAAAGGAGTGTGGAAGTGCCAGGTATTCAGAACAGAGAACGGCAGGTGTTGCTTTTTTCCTTTCTGGAAAGCCAGTTTTAGATCTGATTTTCAAATTTCTGCTGCTTTTTATGAATCTCTGAGGAAGGTGTCAAGACAGATCAGCTTGAAAGTCCTGTGCTTCTCTCTCCAACTATTTTGCATAAGCGAGGAATTCTTTTGCTAAATAAAAACACAGAGTTGGACCTGGAAGGGAAGGAGGTGTCCATCAAGCATTTACATGATGCCAATCAACACTCAGCCTTGTGTGGTGAAATACTTTCCTTGCTGAAGGCAAGAACATGCTCCATCCTTCAAGGATTTCTGTCTCTTTAGGGATTTCTTTTTAAATCCCAAAAAAGTAGGGTTTTCATGAGAGGCTTATGTGCAGCTGGGTAAAAATCATTTATATAAAAGTGGGGAAATCCAGCTGGAGGAATGAGGAATTTTGCTTCCTCCGAAGTCTGGACTGGAGATAGTGTGGGCCCCTCTTGTGCCTGCGGCTCAGAGCGATCTTTAGGATGATCTTTAGGGCTGCCAGGATTGTGGGATCCCCAGTAATCGGGAACTGGGAGTGACAGGAAGCTCCCACAGCTTTTGGGGAATGCTGCAGGTGTGTGGGATCTTAAAGTTCATCCTGTTCCACCCCCTGCCATAGACAGGGACACCTTCCACTATCCCAGGTTGCTCCAAGCCCCATCCAACCTGGCCTTGGACACTTGCAGGGATAGGACAGCCACAGGTGCTCTGGGCAATCTGTGCCAGGGCCTCACCACCCTCACAGGGGAGAATTTCTTCCCAATATCCCATCTAATCTCGCCCCTGGCAGTGGGAAGCCATTCCCCCTTGTCCTATCACTCCATCCCTTGTCCAAAGTCCCTCTCCAGCTCCCTTGGAGCCTCTTTAAGCACTGGAAGGGGCTCTCAGGTCTCCCTGGAGCCTTCTCTTCTCCAGATGAACACCCCTAGCTCTCCCAGCCTGGCCCCAAAGCAGAGGGGATCCAGCCCTTGGAGCACCCTTGTGTCTCTCTGGACTTACTCCAGGAGCTCCATGTCCTTCCTGTGCTGAGGTTTCCAGAGCTGGATGCAGCACTGCAGGTTGGGATCTCACCAGAGCAGAGAAGAGAGGGAGAATCCCCTCCCTCGCCCTGCAGTGGTCAAGGCTGGGGAAGGATGGGATGGGATGGGATTTGAGAGGGTATGGAAGAAAAGGGTGAGAAAGAGTTGAGGAGCAGGAGGAAGAACGAGAGCGGGATGTGGGAGAGGATGAGCAGAGGGGTCCCATTGCCGCCCCCCTCTCCAGCCGGCTGCGGGAGGGGGTACCAGAGGGGGCTGGGGGAGGGCGGGGCGGCTCCCCGGGGCGGGCACGGAAGTCGGGGCGGCCCCGGGCCGTGTGCCCCTCCCGAATGTCCCCCCTGCCCCACCGCCCCGCGCTGCTCCGCATTGCTGCCCCGAGCCGCGCAGGCCAGCCGGCCGTGCGCGGGGATCGGACCCCGGCACCCCGGGACCCTGGGCCCAGGTAAGGGGCTCGGGGGTCCCCCGCGCTGCAAGCCAAGCGTGGGAGCGGAGAGCGGCAGCGGGGGGGTCTCACCGCATCTCCCCCGGGAAGCGCGACAGAGGTGCCGGGGGTGCCCCAAGGCTCCGCAGGGACAGGATCGGGATGCGGATCCAGGGATGCCTCGTTCCCCCCAGGCCCCGCTCCCGCCCGGGAAAGTTGCAGCATCTCGGAGCGGTGCGGGCTGTGGGTTGCACCCCCCACCCCGTGGTGGCCGGTGGCAGAGGCGGAGCAGGTCCCTGGGTGTGCGTGGGGCTGCATCGCCCGTGAGTGGGGTGGGGGCTCCCTTGGGGGTGTGAAGGGTCTTGGCATTGCCACGTGGGTGCGGGGTTGCAGGGGGGGCTCTTGTAGCTGCTGCTTGGTCTTCCCGGTGGTGGACAACTTTGAAGTGTGTTGAGCATTTGGGGGGGTTCAAGCCCTCAAAATTTGCTCTCGTCTCTGTCCCCGGAGTGTGCCCAGTAGGAGCTGCCGTGGCACCAGGGGCTGAGCCCCTTCCGAGGCACCTGAGAGCTGCGGGATGCAGAGAACGACCTGTCCCTGCTGTGGGGGCACTTGGGGTGCTCTGCTCCCTGCTGAGGCTCTGAAAGAGCATCACTGCCCAGCTCAGGGCTGGTCCAAGGGCTTTGGCAGGTGCCTTCGCCGCTCCTTTCCCACGATGGACAAAAGTGGTGCAAAAGGCATTAAAAACCTTTCTGGAGTAGCCTGGAACCTCCGGGAGGCAAAACCAGCCACCTCGGAAATTAGTCTGACGCTGCTGGGTGGTGAAGCTCCCAGGGACGGGCTCCTTCAGGAAAGGGACCTGATTATTTCTCCTGCTGCTGTCCTTCTAATAATTCTGGTTTCAGGTATAAGCTAGAGCAGCAATTTGTCTTTGTGCGATTAACACTCCTTCATTTCACTACTAAAAAAGCTTTGAGCAAGGTGGCTGCCCCGGCCATGGCTCTGCTTTGGGCTCGGGCCATGCCACACTCCTCCCGGGATCCTCGAAGTGTGTGTGGATCAGCCTGATCCCCCCCTTCCCATGAGGCTGCAAGAAAAAAAGATAATACAGGGCTTCAAAACATGGACAGTTGGCTCCAGGGATGCAGAGCTGATAACAGATGAACCATTTGCTTTAATTACTGGTATCAAAAGCCCAGGCTGCAGCTTAGCCTGAAAATAAATATTGTTAATGTTGTGACACTGGGCTTTATTTGATGATGCATCATTCATCCGGCAGGGACTGAACGAGCTGCTCGCTGCTGCTGGAGGGCTGACTCAGGAGATCTGCTTCAGGGGTTCCGTGGGCAGAGGATGTAGAGCCTTGGGGCTGGGAATTGCTGTAGCCTCCCGTGGGCACTTTGCTGGGATCCCCCGGGAGGGCAGCGCTGGGTGGGCGCTGCTCGCCCGCAGCAGCCCCGCAGGCTCCGGCGGCGCTGAGCCATCGCCAGGCGATGCGGTGGGAGCCGTTCGCTTCCCGGGGTGGGCTTCCCGGGACACCCCACGCCCACCAACCCTGCTCAGAGCACCTCACCTGGGTGCAAACCCCGTGCTCAGCTCGCCGCTGCCTCCAGCCCACCCCTCTGCTTCCTCCTCCTTCGCAGACTTGCCTTGGCGCTGCCCTGGCTCCCCAGGAGAGCCAAAAAACGTGCCGAATGGGGGAAAAGCCCGTTTGTCGTGCGGAGCCCCCTTTGCGGCGAGGGTGAAACCCAGGAGCCCATTGCAGGACTCTGCTGCGCCTCCGTGGCCGCGTGGTACGTGTGTGCTGGTGTTAAACATTCCCTGGCTGGGGAAGGGCGAGGGGAGGAAAGCTGCTGAGGGAGGATGAGGGGGCTCACAGCTTCCGAGCCCCTTTTTGTGCTTAAGTTTTGAGGGGCTTTCTCTGGGAGATGAAAACGAGACAGCCCCCCGTGTGCCGAGCAGGTCCCGGGGGTTGTGCTGGCAGCGGTGACCCTCTGCCAGCTCGCTGGTGGCCCTGGCTCAGTGCCCTCCTCCTGCCCACAGCCCGGTGACGATGTCACTGCAGTCACTGCCAATTAGTGATAACGGTAATGAATCGCTCCAGGTGGTCCCAGCAGAGCACTCAAGGTCTGGGAAGAGGGGAGGGCTCTGTTCCCCAAGGCCGGGCTGATTAATTCCCACGTCCTCGTTAAGCTGGGGAGTGGCCGGGGGTGAGGATGGGATGGTTTATAAGGTTCACGTGTTGGAAGCAGCATTTGCTTCTCTGGCCCCGGGAGGTGAGGATGGACTGTCTGCTTTGGACCTGGTGTGCTGGTGATGGGGAGCGGGTCTGGCTGCATGAAACCAGATATTGAGGGTGTGTAGGGAGGGAGAGGAGCTGTGCTTGGTGACCGGGCAAACTGGGAGCCCAGGGTGGTGCAGATGTTGAGCTGGGTGGCCCCGTGCTCCTCTCTGCTGGTGGCTGGGCTGCCCATGGCCCTTGGGGAGGGGCTGTGGTGCTTGGGGGATCCCCTCCACACCACTGGGACCCCTCTACACAGGTCTGGTGTGGGAGGCCTGGCTCTGGGTGGCTCCTCTGCCCCAACCTGGCATCCCATGAGGAGGGTGGGGCTGCACCCCTGAGCATCCTCCAGCCAGGGTCGTGCTCTGGGGGTGCCACCACTACTGCTGTCCTGTGGTGTGACACTGTGGCCCTCAAGCACCCCTGGGGCATCTCGTGGGGACTGTCACCACCTTTGGGAAACCTTCCCTGGCAGTGAACAGGACCTGCCACCTCCAAGCACACCTGGTTGGTGCTTCCCAGCCTTCTCCCCGTTGTTAAACTTCTTCCAGCTGCTCTCGGTGCATTGGGGGTCCCTGCACCAACATCCCTGATGAGGCTGGTCCACCCTGGTGGCTCTGGCCATGCTCCCTGTCCCGGGCATCGAGGGTGTGATCTGTGTGCTGGAGCCATGCAGGGATTTATCTGTTGCTAAGCAGCTTTGGAGCAGCTCTGTGTGGCACAAGGAGCGATGGCAGCACCAGGTGAGCTCAGGCTGTGCTCAGGCATCGCTGGGACCCCCAGCTCGGACAGCCACGGGAAAGTCAGATAAACCCAGGAGTTATGTATATTTTTTTGCTATTGTCTTTCCTATAATTAATCAAGAGGAGTAAATCCCTGTGACAGCATCATAACAGTGTTTGGTTTGTGAAGGAGCTGCTGGAGGAAATGTCAACGTGCTGCTTAAATAAAATTGACTGTGCGATGCTGCTCGGCTGCCTTGGGATGGAGCTTTGTCTGGAGGATGACGAGGAGCTGGGAATTAAGGGGGAGGGGAAAGAAGGCATTTCTCAGCACATTGTGGGAATTTAAAGGCAGCACAGACATCGCCTTAAGGAGGGCTCCCAGGTGTTGTGGTGTGGATTTAGCTGGAGGGCAGGGGAGGCAGGAGCAGCCCTGGGGGCTCCTGTGTGTTCCACGGGGCAATGGAGTGTGCCAGGTTGTGGTGGTGCCATCCTGGCGTGCCACGGGGCTGGGGGTGGGTGGGTGCTGCTGGATGGACTTGCAGGAGTGGTTGTGGTATCGGGGCACTGTGGAATGGCCGGGATTTCCATTGCTTGGTGTTTCCTGTCTGTGGGTCACTGTCGCCTGGGAATGTGGCCATCACATTTAGCTTTAATTATTCAGTTAAAGCTGCTTCAGGAATTGCAGGGCTGCTGTTCCCTGCAAGGGTTTGGTGTGATGACCCCAGGTCTACAACCTGCTGGTTCTGGGTCATTCCCAAAGCTGGATTCCCAAGACTCTGCGCCCTCACTTTGCCATGGGGTGGTTGAGGGGGTTGAGTGTCTAGGGTCTGATCCCACCTCGTGGCATTACTAGGCTGTTGGAGGATGCAGTGTGTGCTGCCATTCCAGTGTGTCACCTGATGCTTCATCTGGGACTGTCCTGCTGTCCCATGCCCCAATACTGGTCCAGATGTCCAGGGGAGCTCCAGGCCAAGCAGCTTTTGTGCCGCTGAGCTCTGCCTCCCTCCATTCTGTTATGAAAGAAAAGCCTCCAAAGTGGGCTGTTCCATAGTGCAAATGCCCAATTTTGCCTGAACTTCCTAAACCAATTTGCATGTGAGATGAGCCAAATGATGGAATGTCAGGATTTGAGGGAGTTCTGGTGTGTGGAACCCTATGGGGCTGGGCTGCCCTCCTGGCCCCCCATGTGATCTGCTGGTTCTCTTGCAGTGTTACACAGCAGTTCCAGCAGATATTTTGAGGCTATTTCCACCTTTTTTCTTGCCCTTCTGCAGGTAAATCCAGCAGTACCAAATCCCACCTGACACCGGAGGACAGTGAGCACCTGCTGCCTGTTCGGGTGGCTCTGTGGCCCCTATAGCCATGGGAATGCCATGCCATGGGTCCTCTGTGCTGTAGAGAATGGTGTGGGTTGTGCGTGGCACCTGCACTGGGCAGCCCCCTTTTCCTGGGAAAGGAAAAGCCTGGATGTTGAGAGATGCTCAGGGCAGAGCTGGACATGGGGTGCAGCGTCTGTGCCTGGTGTCTGGTGAGGACTTAGGGGTCCCCTGTGGTTTGCAGACCTTCCTGAGTGCCAGGTGTGGGCCCTGGAGCTGGACAAGGCAGGATCTGGCCCTGATGGAGTTGTGAGATGGCAGTGAACGTCCTCGTGAGCTGGAAGAGATTTCCTGCCAAACACGGTGTGTGGGGACGCTGAGTGATGAGGAGACAGTTCCATCCTGGTGCCTCCCGGCTCCTGCATTTGCTCCTCTCCCTGCTCAGCTGGGGGGTCCCAGTGGGTGCTTGTCACCCCAAAATAGTTCCTCTTCTCCCTGGGAAAGAGACTGGGGAGCCCCATCAGGCAAACCCATCCTCATATCCTATTTTTCGATCCCCATCTACGGAGTGTAAATCCACTCCCATGCCAGTGTGCAAACCCCACCAGCCCGCCAGAGGATCGTGTTGGGATCCATTCAAGTTCAAAGCCTCCTGTTTGGTGATGACACACAGGAATAATCTCCCACTTGGCAGCGGAGCAGCAGTTTGGGTTGGTTGGTTGGTTGGGGTCTGGCTGCTGCCGACGCTCCGTCTGCGAGTGTGTTCCGAGTGAATGGACGAGCCCTAAAACCTGCTCCTTTCAGACCAGATTAATCACATTAGGCTTTGTCAATGCAAAAATTACCTCATCATTGGCACTGGCAGGTGGTGGAGAGCAGCAGACTTATTCAATATTTAAGAAAGCTGCATTGCAGAGCTGAGAAGGCTGGAGAAATAGGTTGCCTGTGTCAGTGTCTTTGCTGGTGGAGACAATCTCTGCAGGCATCGAGTGGGGACTGTTGAGCTCACCGTAAAAACCTGATGGTTGCACTGGGAGCCTGTAAAATACTGAATTGTCTGTTTTCTACCCTGGGTTGTTATTTCCAGGTGGCTGAAGGGGTGAGTTTGGGCAGCTGTGGGAAGGTCTCTCTTTTCAGGTGCCCAGTTTGTGGGTGGCTTTGGGTCCTGCCCGGGGAAGCAGCAGCTCCGTGTCCTTCCTGGTGCCGTGGGGTGGGATGGGCTCATGCCGTGGGGCTCCTGCTGCCTTTCCCTGCCTGCCCAGGAATGCTGGTCACTGATGCTGCGTCTGCCAGGTTTTGGGTGCTGGAGAAGCGCCCACGAGTTGGCACCTCCTGGCTCAGAGCGAGCGGCGATGACGGGAGAGGCCGAGGGATCCGCGGAAGGCGTTCAATCCCATTTTATCAGGGCACGATCACATTCATGGGCTCCGTCACACAGAAGTAATGGAGCGGCGTGATTGGAGTCATGTGGCCCTTCCTTAAGGCCAGAAATTAAGACCTCACTGCTATTCCTGGCTCTGCCCTGGACACGTTGGCGCTGGCGGGAGCTGCCGCCTCCTTCCAGCATCCACTGGGGAACCTCGAGCAGCTGGAGACCTGCTCGCATCCCTGCTCATCTCAGACCAGGGGGAGCAAACCTGGGACCCTCTGGGGTCAGCCAAACCCTAGAAGGTCTTGGCAACCTCTTAGGTTGGGATGTTTCTATTTCATTAACTAAATGCTGCTGCATCCCATCGATCACCACTTGGATGGGCCACATCCTTTGGCTTGGGAGCAAGGATTTGGTGGGGGAAAAAGCCACTGTAAGCTGTTATTTTGTTCTCTACTACGTGCTAAAAATGCAGAACCAAGCATTAGGGCAAGTGAGGGTAGTTGCTGGAAGTAATGCAAAGTAGATCTTCCAAATCTATTATTTATAGGCGAAGGAACGGATTGTGAATTCCTTCAGGAACTGTCCCTGGGCTCCACTCCATCCGCAACAAAGCGAAACACTCGTGGCCTCTCTATTATTAGCAGAAAGTTCTAGTTGGGGGAAGAAGTTTCCTCCCCAGTGCTGAGTGCTGGTGGTCACTTTATCCCCTTTGCTAGGAAAAAACAGGGATTTTCCACTTATTTTCCCCTGTTGCAGGGCTGGGCTGGGCACTCCTGCTCCATGTGACCTTAGGCAGGTCCCTTATCCACCCACATCTCCACAAAAATGGGTGGTGGCATCACAGTGCTGCCCTTCCTCCCGGAGCACCCTATTAAATGTGTGCCCACCCCACAAGACCCCCAGGCTGTGCTGGAACCCTTCGTTCCCAGCGGGAATTTGCTGCTGCACTGCGGATTGTGGAGGTGGCGGTGGGGACTTAAATGAACAATTTGCTTATTTAACTGACCTTGTTAATCAGAGCCTTCTGGTTTGGCACAGGAATAGGCACTGTGTGAAACCAGCGGAGCACTAATTACCCACGTGCTTCACTTCTCCTTTTTTTCCAAAAATATTTTCATGTATATGTAAGTTTTCAGTGAAGCCAAGGTGAGCCTCAAATCTCTGACTCCTCAGAGATAACTGCAGAGCAGGAAGAGGATGATGGGAATTATGTTTTTTCCTCCTTTTTGGGAAAGTTTTATGGTTTTCTTGGCTTGGAGTTTGTGATTTCAGTGGGGCAAGTTTACAACCTCCTGTTTTCCCTCTTCTCCTTGGGAAAACCTCCCCAGTGCCTCTGCTGGAGTTTTTCTGGAGTTGCTTCATGCCCTGAAAAGGTGCATTTACCCATTTGGGCTGAATTCTGGTGCTGCTGGGGTGCACTGGCACCTCTGGGATGCTGGAGTTGGTGCTGGGGGTCCCTCCCAGGCAGGGAGGAATCCACAGCAACATCATCCCAGGGCAGCAGGGTGGGGAGATGAGGTTCTCCCAGCCTCTGGACCGTTCATCATCCACAACCAGGCTCTGCAGAGGTTTTAGGGGGGTTTTTTTGTGTATTTTTAGTTCTTCTGCAGGCAGAGGAAGCAATTCAAATGCAGGTGCTGTGAGTGGTGCAGGTGGGAGGCTGTTGCTGGGGTGTCTCTGCAGGTCCCCCATCCATGGAGGAGATGGGTGGGGGGAAACCTGGGGGTGGGAAGCAGCTGAGCTAAAAATATTTCCTCCATCAGCAGGAAGCTCTAAGGAAGGGGGGCTTATATCCAGAGCCTTGTGCTCCGGTCAGTGCTGCAGCAAAACCCTTCCTGGAGGGATTGTCTTTGCTTTTATTCCCACCTTAAGAGCTGTAAAGGGAGGCTCAGCCTGAGCTTCTCCCTTTGCAAGTGGTGTCTTGTGGGTGATGCCACCCCTGGACACACCAGCTGCCCTTGGGGACCATCCTGGGAGTGGTCCAGGTGGGACCACTGCCCTTATCCCTTGGCAGTGTCATCATCCCTGGCACCGTACAGGGGTGAGGGGCTGTGCAGGGGGATGGATCCTGCCCTGGGCTGGGTTTGGGGGACGCTGCTCTGCCCAAGGTGATCGCCTTCCATAAAATCACTGGTTTTCACTCAGAAGAGATGATGGGATGGATGGATCCATCCCTGCTCTGTGGGTGATGCTGGTCACTATCAGTTTGGACTTTGTCATCCTCATGCAGGGATTAGGGGGGTGGGTGGAGGGGTAAAACACCTCCAAAATATGGGAATATAAAACAGGCTGTGGATTTGACATCAATTTGTATTTCAATAATAGTATCAGTTTTGCTGAAAGGAGGAGGGTTTGAAGAACCCTTTCTTGACGAACCTCTTGGAGATGAGTGGACAGACCATCGTGTTTGGGTCCTGTTCCCATGTCCTCCCTCAGTGCCTCACATGGATCCATTTAGCAAAACCTTTAGTAAACGAAAATAAAAAAGGAGGAGTTTTGTTCAAGAGGGAAGGTGGTTTGGGGAAGGACAGCAAGACGTGCTGGGTTTTGGGGAGAAAGTTCTGTGGTTTGTAGATGTTTCTCTGAAATGGAACACTCTCTTCCCTCCCAGCTCTGAAGCCTCATAATTAATGTGAGGTCGGGTATCTCATTAATTACAACTGTGCCGAGCGTGGCTGTGCTGCCTCCTGGGAGTGGGGTGGTGGTAGGATCCTGTGTCTCATGCACAGTATCAAGACAGTCGCCAAAGTAACATTCCTACTCCAATTCCTCTTAATGCCAAACGTAAAGCCTTTCCAGGTATGATTTTTGGGATTTTTCTTGTTGTTTTTTTTTCCCTCCAGCCTGGCTGAAAGCTCTGGGTTACCGTCATTGGCATCGCTGCTGTCTGCAAGTGAGGTGATTGACTTGCCCAGTGTGCCACGTTGGTGCTTTTCATCAGGGCACTGGTGTCCCTGAAGTCAGTCCCCGAGTGCCCCGGGAGCGGGCGATGACCGACGCCGTGGTGGGCGGCAGCTCCGACCGGTGGATGTGCCCCAGCGACAGGACCATGTCTGTCCGAGCCAGGTGAGAGGAGGGGACTGGGGCTGCGGGAAGGAGGGGAGTCCCCAGGGTGGGAGGTGACACAGGGTCTTCCTCTGGGAACATCAGGAACTGGGTTTGTGCCGGTTGGACGAGGATGTTTTGTGGTGTTACCCCCTAAACCCCCTGAGCGGGTGATGGGGACAGACCCGTGGGTGGGCATGAACCTGGTGCTGATGAGGAGCCCCATCTGTCTGTCCTGATGTTCTCCAGTGTGGTCACCATGCAGGGAGGTGCTCCATCCATCTCTGTCCTGGCTGGGTGGGTGGTGGCAGCACCCATGGTTGGGTACAGGTTTTGGGAGCCTGGAGGATGCAGGGGCTGGGCAAAGCTCGTGTTCGGAGCTGCTTTGGGGAGAGCACCGGCTGTGCCAGGCTGAGCTGCCCTTGTCCCTGCTCTCACCTAATCCTTATTCCCTCTCTTTCTTGTGCCTCCCAGCAGCGAGAAGGAGCAGTAAGTATCTCCCTTGCTTTTTTTTTGTTTGTTTGTTTTTAACTTATTCCTCTGATGGCTTTGAGAAAATACGAAAAGCCTGGTTTTAGATGCCAAAAAAAAAAAAAATGAGTTTGGGAAGTGTTGCATGCGGTTCTGATGCATTTAAGGTTCAAGACCATGCAGTTGCATTCAGTCCAGGAAGAAAAATACACAGGAAAGGTCTTTAGATGAGCAGAAAGATGGAAGGTATGAGGGACATTTGCCTTTTGCATCCTTTGTTGTTCCAGTCTGAGTGGCAGACATTACCCTGTCACCAGGTTATCACTGCCTGACACCCAGGCTGGGCAAAAGGATCCTTGGAAATGATGTTAGAGGAGGAAACACTCCCATGTTTGCTGAAATGTTCCCAAAAAAGCCCCACCCACTCCTGCTCCATCACCCCGGTACCTCAGCTCACTGGCAAACCTGGTGTTCCACAGTGGAGAGGAGGCTGCAAAGTGAACTGTGTTGGCTGAAACGTGGAAATAATGAGAATATTTTTATAAAGGAATTTTTTCTCCATATAAAACAAGTGTTTCCATGTGAAACCCTCAAAAAATGGAGATAAGAGCTTCCAGCCGGGGTGGGGGGCCATTTGCAGCTAGAAGGGATTTGAGGGGTGGGGTGATATCATAGCCCTGCTTTTGGGTTTGGGGATTGGTGCCTGGCTGTTCCCGCACGCATCCGTGGTATGAATCACACGTGTGATCCATGGATGAATCCCTGTTCCCACAGGCTCCCCTCCGGCTGGGGCGGCCAAGCCGACCGGCAGCGCAAGGGCGAGGAGCTGACGGATGAGGAGAAGGAGATCATCAACAGGGTCATCGCCCGCGCCGAGAAGATGGAGGAGATGGAGCAGGAGCGCATCGGGTAAGGCAGTGCTGGTGGCACTGGTGGCATTGGAGGTCCAGAGGGACATGGGAGGAAGCTCCTGCTTGGCTGCTTTCCTGGGAAGCAGCTACTGCACTGCAGTGTTTCTCCTGAAAGGAGCCTGCGGGGGATCTTTGGTTCTCAGCCAGGAGGAACCTGCGCGCAGGGGAGGGATCTGCTCTGTGTGCTGCTCCTGCTCTGTGTGCCACGGAGTTTGGGCCAAGGATTTATGGTGTCATCCGGTTTTTTCAGTCTAAAAGGGGTCATTAATAACATGCCATTTTGTGAAGCTGCTTGTCCAGGAGCCTGAGCCCCCGTGAGTGTGGGCAAAGTCATGGCTCACTGAGAGGGGCTTTGTCTTGTTTTGGGAAAACAGACATGGGGCTGGAGTGGTGATGGATCCATCCCGGTGGTTAATCTCTCCTGCCACCCTGAAATGAGCTGTCTCTGAGGCTCAGTAGGTCTGAGTGATGCTCAGGGCTGGTACATGCTGGGACCAGCTCCTGGGGATTCTGGGGTACCCATGACCACTGAAGGGTACTGGGGGCATCCTTGGCACCCATTCAGAGGGTGAGAAGAGCCTGTGTTTCCTTTCCTGCCCCTCTGCTCTTCCTGGGCAAAGGTATCAGGTGAAATAATGGTAATGAGGTATCAACTTGCTCTGCTGGGGCTGGTTTTCCAGTGGGATCTCCATAATCCCATTTGTCAGGCATCACACCTGTTTTCCTTACAGAGGAACAGTTTCTTCTTGCTGAGCTTAAGCATCTGGCTTTTTTTTTTTCCCTTGGAGGGAACATACTCAGGCCCAGGCAGGAATTGTGCTCTCCACTACTCTGGGAATGCCAAAGCCCATCTTGTAGCTTGTGGAAGCTTTGCTGTCCCTTAATAACACTTAAATTGAGTGTTTGTGGTACAACCGTGGTGAGCTCTGGCTGCACCCTGTGGCCTCCGAACTGGTGGATTTATTTACTCACTTGCAGAAATCCTTTGTTAGGAGTGGTCTGTGAACAGCCTGGACAGGTTTTGCCTTGACAGAGGTTGTTTTCACTGCCAGGGCTTGGCAATGCCCCTTGGATGTGCTGCTCCCCCAGGCTCAAGATGCCTCCCCAGCTTGGCATCACCTCACTTTACAACAGGTAGCGCTTTCCTCTCCCGGCTTTTTGGCAGAAACCAGGTGAAAGTAGCTGTGAATGGTGGTGATTCATTCCCAAAAAGTGCTTACAAGCAGCGTTTCCCCGGCTTTGCCCATTTGCAGCCCTGTAAGAACTACTCTCAAACGTGATGCTCTTTGGATCAGGCATAAATCATCTTCAGCAGAGAGGGGGGAGAGATTTATTTTGCATCGTGCAGCTGTTTGCCAGCCTGCAGAAAGCCTCCCTTTTCGCCTTCGTGAGCCGAGGAGGAGGAGGTTTGCTCATTCTCATTCATGAAAAGCCGGGCGGAGGACTGGGAGCCGGGAATGCTGGCGGATGTGCTGCCGCAGCTGATTCCCCCCCTGCGTGGAGGCGCAGCGGGAGCCGTGCCAGCCCCTTTGTGTTTGTTGGCTTGCACAACAAGAGCTGTGGGATGTTCAGCTCCAGAAATATGGGACAGCGCCTGGATCAGTCTCGTACGGAATCATCCGTTCAGGAGCTGCTCGGACCTTATCCAGGAGAGCTCCTTATATTACAAAATAATCCGGGTTTGCCAGGCTGGCCTCTGGCAGGGAGGCAGCGGATGTGGATGTACCTTGGTCCGACAGGCTGCTCTGGGATGCTGCTCCTGGAAAGCCTGAGTTTCTGGGATTTGCTGGGATTTTCTCTCTCTGTAAGGGAGAAGGAAAAAAAAAGATCCATTAAAACTTGTCCGGAGAAGCTGTGGCTGCTCCATCCCTGGAAGTGTTCAAGGCCAGGTTGGAGCAACCTGGTCTAGTGGAAGGTGTCCCTGCCCATGGCAGGGGGTGGAACTGGATGGGCTTTAAGGTCCCTTCCAACCCAACCATTCTATCATTCCATGAAAATTTTGGTTTTGGTTAATATAAGGAAGAGCTCATGTGGAGTGAGCGTGCCTTCCAAAGAGGGAATATGTGGTAAATATTTGGAGTTAAGTGGATGTTTTTGAGGGGTTCATTTGAGCTTTACATCTGATACTTGAGCAATCATGAATCCCACAGCTGGTGCTGGCTGCAGATGAACCTCCTTGTGCCTGATGTCTCTCCCAGTTTAGTTCCCTCCCTCTCCTTTATCCTCTGTCCCACCAGCCCCTTACCTCGGCTGGGTTGGGAACAAATCGATGCTGCTTGTTGAGATTTTGTTTGTGGAATTGGACTTTGTGTCAAACCCAGCTCAAATTAATCCAGTGAAGGAATATTTTTAGCCGCAAGGGTGGATGGAGCCCGTGGGATGCATGAGCTGGATGCTGATGAGGATTGTAGGACAGGGACACTTTGTGTGGGGCTTTTTTTGGCTGGATCATTGTCTCATGGCATAGAGAAGGATAAATAGGAGCTGAAATCATCTTAAACATGACACAGCAAGAGCACGTCCGGCTGGAGTTGATGAAGGACTTGACAACTGCTGGGTGAGGAGGATAATCCCTTGGGCTGGTTGAGGGACACAGGGGCTGAAAGCTGTTGGGCAGAGGGATCAGAGGTCCACGTTGGCGGGGATGAATTTGCTGCTGTCCCGTCTCACTCCCTGCTTGGCCTGGCTCATGCTCAGGGGGTCCCTGTGCCGGCTCTGGTGATACTCCAGTGATGGTGATGCTCCAGCTGCACTCCAGGAGGAGCCTGTTCTTCCCAGCTGGCACAGGAGCACCTGCAGGCACTAATTGACTCCATTATGCATCTATAATTGGGTGCCATCAATAACACACCGAGTCTGCTCTGCTGCCTAATGAGTTCCAGCCTGCTCTTGGCATTGAAGGAAAGATCTCAAACCACCCAAAGTCAGAAATTGATATTTCTGGAGAGTGCCTTGCATGGAGCTGGTTCTCCCAGGGGTGAGCTGACATATGGCTCCTGGATCCCCTCCAAAAGTGCTGTGGCTTAACTGTCTCCCCATGGGTCACAGCCTCTCACCTTTCCTCTGAGAGGACCAGCTCTAGAGCAGGATTGCATTTTAATTTGGCTGCTTATTGCTGGGATGACACATAGATAATGCTGGAGCAGATGGCTGAAATCACAGGGGATTAAGTCATTAACCTTGGTGACCAGTAGCAGGGAGGCTCACTGGGGACCACAGCCTCAGCTCTTCTTCCTTGTGTGCAGACAACATAAAAATAAAATTAGGGGTCAAGGAAGGGCAGGGAGGTTGCTGGAGACAGGCAGGAATGTCTCCCGAGATGCCAGCTTCTAAAGGAGATGAGGTTGATTCATGGCTGGGAGACAACTCATGCTGCTTGAGTTTTTGTGGGATTTTGGTTGGGTTTTTTCCCTAAAAAAAATCCTCCTCTCTTATTTCCAAGGCTGGGATGACCCTGTAAAGTAACAACCCTCCTGTAACACATCCTGGGAGGCAGCAAGCACATGAGCATGGAATGGGATATCTGGAAAAACACAGGTCCCTGTGGCCTCTGTGGGCATCTCCTCTCCATGGTGAGGGCTCAGCCTGGAAAAGCCCAAATGGTGCTTTACCTTTAGTCACCTGAAAACTTGTAGGGGAGGAAAATTGCTTCTCATTTCCCATCCCAATTTTAATTATGTTTTCTTTAATCTGTAGCTTGGCTGCTTTTCTTGTCTCTTTTATGCCATTAAAATTAGCCTTAATTTAATATTCAGCCCTTTAAGGCACATGATTTCCCCATGGAGGCAAAGCAGTGCTTAATTCTGGAGGCACTTTGTGACCTCCTTTGTGTTCTACTGGAGTTTCTTTTGGCCATGGTTGTGGTTTTTTGGTGGCTGAGTCTGTCCCTGCTGGTTCCCACGTGGTGCTGGGGAGCACCTGGCTCATCATGCCCTGGATCAGGTCCTTCTCCTACCCCCTTTACAGCATTAAATGTCCTCCCTGGCACAAAACCCATTAAGCACATCTTTACCATTAACTTCTGAGTGGCAATGAATATTTAAACACAACAAACTCTTGTGTGCCTGCCCTGCTGTTAAGTCTTGTTTTCCAGGATCATCAGCACTTAATTCCAGTGTCTCTCTGTCCTTCTCTGCATCCCTCTGGTCCTGGTGCAAGAGAAAACGCTGATGCTGCAGCACTGAGAGTTCCATCAGATCATTTAGGTTGGATGTGATGATCTTGGAGGTCTTTTCCAAGCATTAACCCAGCACTGCCAAACCCATCACCAGTTCCATCCTGTCTAGGATTGAGCCCAGCCTAAGGTGGTCCCTCATCCCTGTGGGGATGCCACAGACCATGGGAGATGTTTGCAGGTCTCCTGTGACCGTGAGCCCTTCCCTGCCCACTCCAGGGCTCTGGAGTGTGGGCAGGAATGCCTGGGGAGGGCTAGCTCACTGCCTTGGGGCTGCTCACCTTCCTCTTCCAAACCATATTTATGGGGCTGGGTCGTTAATATGTTATCATTAATATGTTTTATTGCTGTTATCTCAGGTGCACGTGGAGCATTTCAGATGCAGCTGCTCCTATCTCCCTCCCATCAGTGACTAATCCGTATTTCTTTGGCGGGTGACGGATGTTCTCCCGCTCCACAGGGCTGGCTCCGGGTGCTGGGCTGAGCCAGCTCCCTGCTACCAGCTTCAATTACTCCTCTCTTGGCTTTTTTCCCCCCTGTTTTAACAATTTGAAGGATATTTCCTGCTCTTTAAGGGCAGTCCTACAGAGGCCAGAGGGATGGGCACTTGGAAGGGCAGACAATGGCAAGGAAGGTGTGTAGCCCTGGAAATGTGTGAGGGAGAGGGATGAACTGGAGGGCAATAAAAATGATAAAGAAATCATATCTAGGGGAGAGAAAAGCTTTGGGAAAGGCAAAAAGCTTGGCAAGAGCAGGGCTTCCCTTGGTTTTTGGTGGGAGACTGTGTGGAAATGGGGCTCTGGAGGTGCTGGATGGAGCTGGAAAGAAACCTGGGCTATTTGCTCCCAGTTATTACTTAATCAGGAGCTTCCCAGCCCAGGGGTCCCAACACAACACCCCCTTTCCCAGGGCTCTTTCTGCCAAGCTCACCCCAGGACTTTAACTTTTTATCCACTTCTCTCCCAGCAGCGTTTGAATCATGGAAAAAAAAAAAAAGCCCAATTTTTCCTTCTTGAAGGGATGTTTTAATTAAGGAAATGTGCTTGGCTTGCAACGGGTGCCACAGGTGTGTGTTCTGGCTGCTGAGCTCTTCCACTGGTTAAAAAACCACTTAAGGAGCCGCTTGTGCTAAATGAGAGACTGGGAGAGATTTTGCAGCTAAATAATGAATCTCTTGAAATGCAAAGGCTTTTTCCTTTTTTTTTTTTTTTTTATCCCTTTGATTGTGCCATTTGTTCTAGTTTCTATAATAAGTTTGTTTGGGCTTGCAGATTTCCAACGGGAAGCTGCTTTGCTTGGAGCTCTTGCAGCACAGCCTGGGGGGGGATTGCAGGAGGTGCTTGTGCTTTGCTGCTTGGATAAGAAAGGGTTTTCTCCTCCAGAATATTCCCCCTGGTGAGGTGGGAATGATGTGCTGCCACAAAAGCTGGAGGTTGTTGGTTGGTTGCTGTTGGGGGCTCTTGGTGGGGACCCTGCACTGCATGGGCAGGGATTCATTTCATTTAAATAAGAAACATTTGGGGAACAACCAGTTTCCAGGGTTTTGTTGGAATACTGCTGGCTGGGGGTTGTGGGATGAGGCAGCTCTGTTGAAGTCGCTGGGAGCTCCGTGTTTGCAGCAAAATATGCTGGCCATGGAGCTTGGGAAAGGCACCAAGGGTGGGTACTGATGGGTAGGGATGGACAGTCACATCTCTTGAGTAAATCCCAGAATGGTTTGGGCTAGAAGGGACCTTAAAACTCATCTCATTCCACCCCCTGCCAAGGGCAGGGGCACCTTCCGCTAGACCAGGTTGCTGCAAGCTCCATCCAGCACTGGAGCACCTTCTCCATGAAGTGGAAAAGCACAAAATCCCCTCACCATGGTCCAAGGATGTTATTTTTTAACGAAAGGCTGCAAACCAGAATTGCTGTTTTTAGAGCCCCCGTGGTCCTGTCGCTGCCAGAGCTGCGGGCGATGGAGACTGAAGGAACTTGTGAACTCCTCCATCTGCTGTCTGGTGACACTGCAACTGTGAAAACAGCGATTTCTCCCCACTGCTGGCTCCGTCTGGCTCTGCTGCTGCCCACCCAGCCCAGCAATCCCATCTCCCTGCTGGGAACGGGCTGTGCAGGTTCATTAAGAACTGTCAGGAGGCACCTCCACACTGGCAGCCTGGAGCCCATGGGGAGGAGTGGGAGATTCCCTGGTGGGTTTTAGCAGAGCTGTTGTCTCCCACCTAACTAAGATGATGTGATAACGTGGCTTTGGTTGGATAATGTCTGCGGAGTCACGGAGCTGCATCCCCACATTGGACTTGATGTGGTGGCTGGTGAAGTGCTTTGAGATGCTCCTGTTGACTGCAGTGAGGAATTTCTGAGCTGTGCTAGGCTGCACGTCCCACAGTGCTTTATTTTAGGAAGAAATCCTCCCCTGTGAGGGTGGTGAGGCCCTGGCACAGGTTGCCCCGAGAAGCTGTGGCTGCCTCATCCCTGCAAGTGTCCAAGGCCGGGTTGGACAGGGCTTGGAGCAACCTGGGCTAGTGGAAGGTGTCCCTGCCCATGGCAGGGGGTGGACTAAATAATCTTTAAGGTCCCTTCCAACCCAACCCATTCTATGATTGCATGATTTTCCCCCCTCTTGCTGCTGTTCCTTCATCAAGCTTTTCCCCATGGAGCCCATGGAATACCAGCCGTCCTGCAAGTGGCTGGACACCAAACCAGAGGCACCCTGTGTGGACAGAAGCTTTATGAGCCTTTCAAAGGTGTTGGCAGCCAAGTCACCATAAATCCAAAGGTGTCATCAGACATGTGGGAAAATGTCTTTCCAGCGCCGGGTGTTTTTCGCGCCGCGCCGTGTTCACGGCTCTGTCGGATTTGGGTCAGGCTGCCGAGGGGGATGGTGGCCTCGGGGGCTGCTCTCTCTGGTGGGCTTGGATCTCTTCCTCCCTTCCTTCATTCCTGCTCCTTCCTCACTGAATGGCATAAATAATGCATCCTTTTTCCCTTCTCGTGCTATTTTTAGGGCCAGGATTCTGGGTTAACTGAGCGTACGATGCTGGCAGCTCCCTCCTGCTTCCCAAACTCCTTTTGCCAATGCTGGTTTTCCAGAACTTCCCTAACTGTTCATTTTTTTTTTTTTTCTACCTTTGCAGGAACCAAAGGTGTGTTTTTATAACCTGTTCTCCAGTGGGCTTTTAGCATTTCATTTAAAGAATTTCCATAATTTCCACTGTAGGCAATATTTTTCCTTAATTAATAAGAAAGCTAATTAATTCATTCAGTCCTTACTAGAGCCCTTCCAGGATTTCTTGCAGCTCTTCGTGAGCAGTCACTGGGTGGAAAAGTTTTCCATCTGGGGACAAAGCTTCTTCACTGATGCCAAAGTGCTCTCTGTAGAGATGCTGCCTTGGATGGATTTCCACATGCATGTACGTGGAGCTGGGGCTGCTGTCAGCTCTCTGGCTGCATCAGTGGAAGTTAATATTGTGCAATATGAAGTATAAAGGACATGCTGGAGTATTATATCCACCCCACTGGGACGTCTTTTCCCCTGGTTGCATTCCCACAGTTGGAAGGGGAGATTCTCTACCGGGAGCTGCCCAAGGAAAAGGAGCGGCCGGACCAAAGGCAGTGGCTGCCCCTCAGGAGCAGGACCCTGACCCCAATATCCTGAGCCTTTCCTGACATTCCCTGTCCCCTCTTTGCCAGGAGGCTGATGACCAGGCTGGAGGACATGCGCCGCAGCGTGCTGGGGGACGGGGTGAACCGCTGCATCCTGTGTGGGGAGCAGCTGGGTCCGCGTGGGTCTGCCTGTGTCGTGTGTGAGGACTGCAAGAAGGTGAGGCCCCTCCCTGTGCCCTGCACCTCCCCGGACCCCCACAGCACCCCCCAGACCCTCAGAGCTCATCCCTGATCCCCACAGCCTGTGGCCCCCAAGGAATCCCCCAGCAATCGTTCCTGACTTCAGGAACCTGTTGCAGGGATGCCGTGTGGACTGGCTGGCTCAGGGATTGTTAATTCAATTTATTTTGTAATTTCGGGCTTTTAGCAGTTGGAAATTATAATTTCGAATGAGGTTGGTGCTTGTGAGCGAGGGGGTCCAGCAGAGTGGAGCTCCTGTAGCTCTGAGCACGGAGAAAGGAGGAGTTTGCTTTGCCATACATGGCTCACACAGAGCATCAGGACGATCCTTGGGGAGGGTTTTATTGACAAATCTGGGAGAGCATCTCAGCTCTGGGGGAACCTCAGTCTTTGGGGGCATGTTTCTTTAGCCCCACATCCCTCCACACGTGGCATGAGAGGACATCTCCGAGGGTTTCTGTGCTCACTGGTGCTTGTGCTGGAAGAGCTCTCGTTAACCAGCCCTCATTAACATCCCACTGGTGGTGCTGGTGTGGTGGGACCTTGCAGTGGCCAGAACTTTTGTTTTCCCTGCAGAATGTCTGCACCAAGTGCGGGGTGCAGACCACCAACAACCGGCCCCACGCCATCTGGCTCTGCAAGATCTGCAGTGAGCAGCGGGAGGTGAGTGTGGCCCCCCGGGCTCCCCCTGCCCCAGGGATATGGTCCCTGCCCTTGGTGTCACCCTGTGCACTGTCCCCACCCCAGACCTTCCAGATGGGACCAACTGAAGCTCCCAGGGATTTTCAGCACCACTAAGCCTTGCCCAGCTGCTCGAGTCTGGTTCTTACAGCATGGTCTTGTTTTCTACATAAAATGACATTTATTAGTCCAAAACAAAGTCTTGGTGTCGCAGAGGCTGTTGTGGGCAGATTGATTGACTGCTGCCTGCAGCATGAGCCAAAGAGTTAATTAATTAACAGCATGGGCTGCAGGGTGGGGATGTGGAGTTGTGTGTCCTCCACCTGCTGGTGCAGGGGGATGAAGTCCCCAGGACCCCTCCCAAGACATGGATGCCAGCCTTCTCCCTGCTCCCCCAGGTGTGGAAGCGCTCTGGTGCCTGGTTCTTCAAGGGTTTGCCCAAGCAGATGTTGCCCCAGCCGATGCCCGTCAGCAAGAACAAGGGACCCCAAGCCCCGAGCGAGCCCAGCCCGGCAGAACCGCCCACCCCAGACCCCAAAGTGTCTTCCCGGGCACCCACCCGAGGTAGGTGACAGCGGGTGCTGACCCCCCCAGCATTGGCAGGGGTGCTCCCAGTGTGGTATTGGGTCTCTCCACATTGTTGGCATGGGAAAACTCTGGGAAAAAGCACCAGAGCAGTCCTGTGGCTGCTGCCTGTGTCCTAAAGAGCGTAGAAATGGTCCTGCTGCCCTCCCTGCCTGCGGAGGCTTTATCCAGGCTGTCCAAGTCGGAGGTGGATGGGATTGCAGGAACATCCTTCAGCAAAGCAGCCCCGGGTGGGGATCAGGAGTTTGGGCAGTGCCTGGGTATGAACACGGTGACGGAGAAGCCTGGGAAAAATAAGAATAAAAAGGGAAATAAGGGTTGGTGTTGGGGGGAGTGTGGGCTGCAGCTTCACCCCTTCTCACTCTGTTTGTGCCCCCAAGGCCAGGCGGAGGCCGGGCCCCCCCCAGCCGAGCCGGACGCCGAGGGTAAGCACCGGCCTTCACCCTCTCCCCGTGCCACTGCCCTGGTGCCGCCTGTGCTGAGTCCCCTCTTTCCTTCCTTCCATTCCCATGACGTTTTCCCGCAGAGTTTCCCATGGGAGGCTGCAGCAGGACCTCTCCTTACTGCTGCCGCCCACCACGCGGGGACTGAGTTATTCCTGGGCTTCCCCACCCCCTGCACACGCCGGGGCTGAGCGGCTGCGATTCCAGCGCTGAGCTGTGGGTGGTGGGTCCTGCTGTGAGGGGCAGGCGATTTTCTGCTTATTTAATGGCAGTCCTTGGAAAACCTCCCGGAGAAACTCCTGGAGGTTTGTGGGGGCTTGTGCATGTCTGCAAGGGATGGAGCAGCTGAGCTGCTCTGCTCTGGTTTCCCCCACCGAAGGGCACCAGCACAGAGCTGTGCCCAGGCTTGTGCCGTGCACGGGAGGCAGAGCAGGGGGAGGATGCACTGGGGGTTTTTTTGTGGTAATACCTTGCCCCTCCACCACTTAGAATCATGGAATAATTTAGTTTGGAAAAGCCCTCTAACACCATTGAGTCCAGACCACCATTAACCCATGTCCCCAGGTGTCACATTTACATGGCTTTTAAATCCCTTCAGGGATTGTGGCTCCACCCCTGCCCCGGGCACCTGTGCCAGGGCTAGACAACCCTTTCAGTGAAGTAATGTTCCCTAATATCCGACCTAAACCTCCCCTGGCACAACCTGAGGCTGTTTCCTCTTGTCCTGTCCCTTGTTCCCCAGGAGCAGAGTCTGACCCCCACCTGGCTCCACCCTCCTGTAAGGGAGTTGGAGAGACTGAGAAGGTCTCACTGAGAGTTAATTTTGAGTAATATCCCCCCTTTTCACAGTTCCACATCAGAGTGCTGAGGTGCTGAGGATTCCAGACCCTTCCCAACAGCACCTGCCCCTGGCTGGACAATCATTAAGATGAGAGCAGCACAGTGGCTGCAAACCCTCCTCTTCCTCTCCTTCCTTACGAAGAAGGCAGTAGGAGTTTGAGAGGACATTTCCCCTGGTGTGGTCCCCTCCATCCCAGCCATCCTTTAGCTCAGGGTCTGTTGTGACAGTGGCCATGCTTGAGTTCCCAATTGTGGCTCCGTGTTGGTGGCACAGCCTTTTTCTGAGCTGTGCTCCCTCCAGCCCACACGATGGAGACACATCCTATGTGTCTGGGTGGTGTTTTGGGGTGAGCCCCATGGGGCGGCACCCACTGTGGGTACCTGGGATTAGTCACAGCCCTGTGGGAAGCTCCAGATGAGCCTGTGCCCAGCCTGGTGCTCCCAGCTGATGATCTTCCCCTTCCCATGCAGCAGCACTTGGGGAAACCACTTAATTAAGGTGATTTAATCGCAACAGTAGCTGGTGCTGTTGAGCTTCCCAGCCCCACAACAGGCAGCTTTTATTGAGCTCTGGCTCCTGCAAGTCCGGGAGGCTTTGCCAGCTCTGCAGGTCCCTCCCGGCGCTCAGCATGCTCACATTGTGCCCATGATTTTCCTAAAGCTCCCTTGGAAAATTATTTATTGCACTGCTGTTTCTGCACCACGGGGCTCCTGGGCCTGGATGCTCGTTTCCACTCCTCTCTGCTCTTCAGCATCCCGGTGTTTTTCCCTCCCTCCTCTCCCCCACATACAATCTGTTGCGTTTCGCTTTCTCCGGTGACCCTGAGAGCCCAGCCAAGGAGAAACATCCCATTTATGTCACAGCCAAGATTTATACCTGGCATCTCCAGTGCCAGCCAGGTGAGCGCCGGGACCTTTTCCATCACATCTGTGGGTTGCAATTTGTCACCATGGAGAGCTCTGGGCCCCCTGGAGCGTGTGGCTGGGATTTATCTGCTGAGTGATGGAAGTGAGAGGCAGAGGCAGCTGCCACCCTTGTCTTGTTAATAAACGGAAGATGATCAACAAAAGGAAAATATGATCCCCCTGTCCTGGGGACTGTGGAGCTGTGATGCCTTAGGGGTTTGATGGGTGCTGAGGACTGGGTGATGGATGCCTCTGGCCTTGTTTTCCCATGGGATTTCTGCATCTCTTGGTGTTCCCATGGTTTGGTGTGTCCTTTGGGCTTTCCTGACCGCTGTGTGAAGGTTTGGTGGTGCAGAGCCCTCCTGTTGCAGTCACCAGAACTCTGGGGGTGATGCCGTAGTGGCTGTGCCCATCCTCTTTCTCCTCCTCTTGCTGACACCCAGACTGAGCTTCACCCAGGGGTGGGAGGTTGGTTTTCCAGCCTCACAGCTGCCTTTATCCCTCTCCCGCAGGCAGCGACACGACGGCATCCCCCAGGGGGAGCCGCAGGCCGGCCGAGGGCCGGGCGGGTCCGTGTGGCAGCGAGGACACCGGTGGGGACACCGAGAGCCGGGACTACGGTGCCGAGAGCGGGGTCAGCAGAAGCCCTGGTGAGAACTGTGCTCCTGCATCCCTGTGCCTGCTTCTGCACCCTTGGGAGGAGAGGGCTGGGGGGCACAAGGCTGACAGCTGTCTAAGGGTTGTCTGTGCTGATTCTGCCCCCTCCTTGCAGGTGTGAAGAGAACCAACTCCGTTCAAGCCTCACGGCCGCCCCCACCAGCCACTGCCGGACCCGCTGCGGGTCCCGCTCCGGCGGCAGCACCCGCAGGTAGGATGTGATGGGGATGCAACCAGGAACAGTCCCTGGGGACACCTCAATGCCTTGTTTGTGGAATTGCGGTGCCGGGGTTGGGGAGAGGGCTGGAAGCACCTCCCAGTGAACTCCCTGGTGATGCTGCGTTTGTCCCCAGCGCCGCCGGCAGCAGCGAGGCCGGGCCCCGGGGCGGGCGGGCGGTTCCCGGAGAGACAAGGTAAGACCGGGCTGTCTGTGAGGGGCTGGGGGGCAGAGCCCACGGGGTGCTAACGGGGTCCCTCCCGCAGCGAGCCCACCGCTGGGACCCTCAGAGCCGGCCCGCGCTGCCACCAGGGAGGAGCGAGGAGGGGGCTACGCTGCACCCCCCGCCAGGGAGGAGAGGCCGGCCTGGCAGCCCCCCGCCTTCCAGCAGCCCCCCGCCGCCACACCCGCATCCGCAGCCCCGCAGCGGCAGCGGCAGCAGCAGCAGCCCCAGGAGGAGGAGGAGGATGCAAACAGCTATGACTCTGATGAAGGCAGTACGTACGCAGGGTGCATGGAAGGGAGGGAGCTGTTCTTTGGGAAGCGTGGGAGTTTGAGGAGATGATCGCTGGGGGAGCCTGACTCGTATGGTAAGGTGGTGGGTCTCCGGCTGGGAGAATCCTTGGGGAACTCTGCTTCCCTGTGATCGGGGCAGGGTCTTGCAGGCTGTCCCTGCTCAGTGCAGTTTGTGCAGCCCACGGGATCTTCAGTTGGTTTTGCACCAAACACTGAGCTCTGATGTGATGATTCAGGCTCTGAGCCTACGTCACCTTCCTGTTTCCATACTGGAGTCCCTAAGGCATCTGCCTCTTTCCATCTGAGCATCCTTTGCTCTGAGAAACACCACTGGCTTGTCTAGGAAGGGCTTGGCGGCTGCAATCCCTTTGCACCCTGAGATCTTGGTGTTCAGCCATTTGCTCCCCTAAAAGAAAGGGAATTTGCTGCGGGAGGGTGAGCATCTGTGGGAGAACATCCTGGGTGGGAAGAGCTGCTCGGGGCCAGGAGCAGGTGCTTGGGTAGGAGCAGCTGGACCCAGCTGAGGTTCTGTGCCTTCTCTTCATCCCTGTCTTATTTTCCTGGTGATCACATGAAGACAAGCCTGAGTTGGTTGCTCCCATTTTGGGGGCCAAGCACTGACTCTCAACCTTGGGAGAAGACGCTGTCCCTGAGCTGGTTTGTAGGGTTACTCCTGCTCTGCCTGGTGAATATTGAATCCAGCTCCAAAGTCCCAGGCTGCCCTCCCTGGGCAGTCCCTCCTCTGTAAGGCTTTGACCAGAGCTCCTGAGTCCAGCTGGATCTGTGGCAGTTTGGCCGGTGCCAGCACAGTCTCATGTGCATTAAACAGCTTCTACATTTGACCCACAAATCTTTCTAATTATTACTAATCAGGGCTGACTAAATGCAGTTATTGGCTGGGGGTTTAACAAGATGCTATTTCCAACTCCTCCTCCCTCTCTGTCAGCCACGCTGGGAGCTCTGGAGTTCAGCCTGCTCTACGACCAGGAGAACAGCTCCCTGCACTGCACCCTCATCAAGGCCAAGGTAAGTGCTCCTCTTTTTTCCCATTTTGTCCCCAGTTTAAGTCCATTTGGCTTCCAGTTTCTTTGGTGCGATGAGATGGAAGCCATGTGGCTGCAGACAGAGGCTGCTCCCTTGGGAGACTCAGCCTGACCCTGTTGGCACAACTGCTTCTGGCTGGGGAAAGTTGGGGGGCTTTTCCTTGAGTGGATCCAAGAAATCTGTGAGGATGGTGAGGCACTGGGATGGCTTCCCAGAGAAGCTGTGGCTGCTGCATGCCTGGAACTGTTCAAGGCCAGGTCGGACAAGTCTGGTGAAACGTGTCCCTGCCCATGGCAGGGAGTTGGAACTTGGTAATATTTGGGGTGTCTTCACCTCAAACCATCCTGTGGTTCTATAATTATGATTTTTCCTTGAGTGAGTCTGATGTTTCAGCACATCGTGTCACCCACGACTGCTCGGGGCAGAGAACAAGGCTCTTGGTTCACTGAACACGTTTTCTCTTTGCTGAGTTGCTTCATGGACAGCTTCTCCTCTTCCCTGGCTCAGCTGAAGGAGGATTCATGTGCCATGTTCTCTTAATCATCTTTTAGGGCTTAAAACCGATGGACTCCAACGGCCTGGCTGATCCCTACGTGAAGCTGCACCTCCTGCCTGGAGCCAGCAAGGTGAGGCTTTGCCTGGTTTGGTGCATTTTGGGCTGGGATGGAGCAGAGGTTTCTCAGAGCCCCTTCAGGCCCCTTCCTTGTATCAGACTTCCCCCCTTGATTTCTCGCTCACTGCTGCTGTTTTACCCTGGGGGTGTCTCTGAACAGTGATGATGTTCACAGATGCTCTCCCAGACCCAAGGAACAGCTCATCCTGCAGGCAGGAATCTGCTCAGAGATGAAGGGACGCTCCAGAGGAGGCAACACTGTTAATGCATCACAAAACATCTGACCAAGAATCTATTTATTGCCAAAATTTGAACTACCCATTTGCTTTGAAGCTGCAACATGTTCTTGTTAGAGCTGGGAGGAGAGAACTGTTGAGGAAACTCTGACTCTGTCATGAAAATCCCTGGAAATCTCCCTCCCCAGCCCAGCTAAGCTGATCCTAGTGGGGCAGCCTTGGAGGAAGGGATGACCAGAACTGGCCCAGCAGTGCTGGCTCTTTGCTCAGGGGGTGCAGAGTTTTTTCCCTGCAGCAGATTTTTGCTCAGAGTAACTAAGTATAAAACAAGGGGAAAACAGAAAATAAAGCCATTGGATTGATGTTTACAGGTTTGCTTTTATGCACCTGGGATTTCTGATCTTGTGCAGAGTAAATCAAGGTGTTGTGATCTTGGGAATTGCTTTGATTTCTGTTGCTCTCATTTGCTGATTTTTTTAAAAAATTTTTTTAATGTTTAACATGTGTTTGTGAAAGACACGTGATCAAGTGGCAGAGCTCCTCAGTTCCCCAGCTGCCACCTCCTTTAGACCATGAGGGCCATGACCTGAGCCCCCACAGCCTGTCCTGTGCACCTTCTTCCTTCTACAAGTGTCCTTGAGGGAATAGATCCCAGGGAGTGACAAAAGCCAGGCAGTGAAGGCTGCTCTGGCCACCACGTGTCACCGAGTCCCCGGTGCTCCTGTAAAGGTCCACCTTGTTGGGTTGGTGATGCTCACCTGGAGTTGATGCCTCACCAGCACAACCCAGTCAAACCACCTCTCTTGAGCCAGATGGGATGGAGCATCTCTGCCAGGAGCTGGGATTTCGGTGGGGGGAGGTCAGGGGTGTGGTTATGCCGTGGTTTGTTTGTTTGTTTGCCATTGCAGTCAAACAAGCTGAGGACGAAGACGCTGCGCAACACCCGCAACCCCGTGTGGAACGAGACCCTGGTGTACCACGGCATCACGGATGAGGACATGCAGAGGAAAACCCTCAGGCAAGCAGAGGAGCCTGGGATCCCATGGAGGGGTGGGATGGGGACCCTGGGGCTCCTCACATGGAGGAGAGCACTGGCAGCAAAGTACAGGGGGTGACGGGGCACCTGGAAACACAGAGGTTTTGGTTAAAAATCACCATGAAGTTTCTGATTTGGATGGTCCTTTTAAGTGGAGAAAAAGCATTTTGGCCCTGTAATTTAATATTAAATTATTGGCATCACTATAATTCTTATCGGTGTGGAGATGTGCATATTGTGTATCTCTGCTGATCAAACAATATCCCAGCAAAATATTAAGATGTCTATTTAAATAATCTCTAAAAATTTTTGATGTTTTCCTTCCTGCAGAAAATTTCCACCTTTCCACTGTTGATCTCTTCCCCTATCACAGAGCAGATATTAAAAATGTTGATTTTTTTTTTTTTTTTTTGGCCAACCAGAAGATTGATTTTATTCCTCCTCTTATCAGAGGAGAGATAGATGGAGGGTGATTTTAGGGGGGCTTTGCTCAGTCCACCCCTCCAGCAGTTCCCCTGCAGAGGTGGCTTTAGCTCTAGAGTGAGGTGCTGCTCCAGCCTGGCTGATGTTCCATCTTTTCCTCTTCCCTTCAGGATCTCAGTGTGTGATGAAGACAAATTTGGCCACAACGAGTTTATTGGAGAAACTCGAGTTTCCTTGAAAAAACTCAAAGCGAATCAGAAAAAGAACTTCAACATCTGCCTGGAGAGAGTAATACCAGTGAGTGTCTGAGAGATTTCCTTCTGCTGCCCTTTGTGTTGGGGCTGCAAACAAGTGGCATGTGAGGGAGGTTGGGGTGGTTTTGGGGTTGGAGCTGGAGGTACCTGACTTCACTGGCACCTTCAGGAGCTGGATTCCCACCTGTGTCTGGTCTGATACAACACATCCAGGCCAGGAGATAAGAGTGTGGTGGGAATCCAGGGGAAGTGACTTTGGAGACCTCTCCTGTTGGCGCTGTCACTGCGGAGGAGAGGGCAGATTGCTCCGTCCCTGAGCTCTGCTCCTCAGTGTAGGATCTGCTGAGGTGAAGGTTGATGGAGCAGATGGACATTCCTCAGCCCAGCAAAGGAGCTGGGCTGAGCCCCCAGAGCTCTATCCCAGCTGTGGTCACTCATGGCAGTCTCTTTTTCCCTTTCTCATCCAAGACAAAACGTGCTGGAACAACCGGTGCATCCCGTGGGATGGCTCTGTATGAAGAGGAGGTAAGCCCTTGGAGGACAACACGCTCCCTGCATGTTTCACCCACCATCTCCTGTGTGAATGAGGTTCCCTTCTGTCCACCCTGTCTCATCTGCTCTGCCGCTGACATTTTCCTGGCTCAGCAACCCCTGTCCCCATCTCTGGTGTGTTCCTCCCGCAGGTAGATCGTGGTGGGGACGTGGAGGAGCGTGGGAAGATCCTGGTGTCCCTCATGTACAGCACCCAGCAGGGCGGGCTCATCGTGGGCATCGTGCGCTGCGTGCACTTGGCGGCCATGGACGCCAACGGGTACTCGGACCCCTTCGTGAAGCTGTGAGTGAGCCCTGGGGATGGCTCAGGGTTGTAACCCACGGGCATGGAGCCACCTGCTGTCCTCAGGCAGCAGCTGGTGGGCTGGGAGTTCCTTCCAAAGCCACTGCAGACCTCGTGCAGGCGGAGCTGTCCGCCAGCAGTAACTGTGCATGGTGGAAGTGCCCCCACTGTGGCTGAGACTGACCCAGCCCTTGGCTCCATCACTCCCTGTACGTCCCCAAATGCCCAGATCCAATGGGCACCTCATGTAGAATCAGTGAATCATTGGAAAAGACCTCCAAGGCCATTGAGTCCAACCTTTGACCTCATGTCAAGGAGAACAGGGGGTCCTTCTCTCCATCTCTGACCCAGTGTGGCTGCAGGGCAGGGGTGGCTTGATGCCCCTCCATGCCCCACTTCCTGCCTCATAATCCCACGTGCTGGGGGAAGCTGGGAGCCCAGGGATCACCTTGTCTGTCTCTGTCTCCCATGGTTGGGTGGCTCCTGGGAATGTGGGAGAATGAAGTTGTTTTTACTCCAACCTCATAAACTGTGACACAGTGAGGACCCTGCAGTCATTGCTGGTGAGGTTATCATTGCTGTTTTCTCTTTGCCTTCAGAAAAAACCTCTGTTCTCCCTAAAACTCCTTCAATAACTCTCATGTTGAACACTTTGCACATCTCTTTATAGCTAAGGTGGAACTGAGCAGTTTACCTTCTCAGTCTCTCTTAATTTTTTTTATATTTTCAATTTCCATGAACATAAGATGGTGAACTTGCATTTTAAAATCAACTTTGAACATAGATTTAAATTATTTCAACTCAGAACAACTGACTCCTGGATCTCCATTCAGGCTGCACAGCCCCAGCCCCACATTTTTCCCACATGTGGAGATGGGGAGACTGGCCTTAAATAAATATAGTCAGTGCCCTTTTTTCTAGCACAGAAACTCACTTTTTAAGCTTATAAGCTCCCACTGTTCTTGCACTTGAGTTTTGAACTGTTTTCTGTTACCCCCAGTTGGCTGAAACCTGATATGGGAAAAAAGGCCAAGCACAAGACACAGATTAAGAAGAAAACGTTGAATCCTGAGTTTAACGAGGTAGGGATGGATTTATTTTTTTATATTAATAAATCAATTTAGCTAATTACTGTGTTGTGTGGAGGAGGTGGAAGACAAATTCTCTGAGGGTTGATTCCTTGCTCAGGCTCCTTTCCCACTTCTGTTTCCAGCAGTATTTTGGGAATGACTTTGCCATGGGGCCAGGCAGCACATGCACCCTGAAGCCTCCTTGCTGCTGGTGCTGCTGACTCTGTGTCTCCCTGGCTGGGGGGTGTGGGTGGGATGGGTGCCCCTGGGGTCCCACCACTGGTTCTGCTTTGATGGGACACCTGGAAAGGGCTCACATAGGTACAGGGAGTGAGCTCAGCTCCTGTCATCCTGAGAGAAGAGGCACTACAGGGAAGGAGCATTTTCCCTTCATTAATTTTAACTCTTCTCTCACTGGATTTTGAATCCAGGCTGTACAGAGAACATGTGCAATCCCTTAACTGCAGGTTTCAGGGAGTGTTTTCCTGGAATGCTTTACGTGACGTGTTTTTCTCCTTCTGCAGGAGTTCTTCTATGACATAAAACACAGTGATCTGGCCAAGAAGTCACTGGACATTTCAGTCTGGGATTACGACATTGGAAAATCCAATGACTACATTGGTGAGCTGAAAGTCTCTGCACTCTGGGGTGTGTTTTTTGGTGCCCAAGACAGTGTTTGCTGTATGGGAGGGGTGTGTAGGTCACCTGCCCTGTGAGGAACCCCAGGTGGGACCATGGAAGCTGGTGGGATGCTTGTATCAGACCACCACATACACTGCACCCGCTGTGCTGCCCATCTCCTGCATCCCAGGGGGCCCTTCTGGGCAAGCAAAGCATGTCGGGGTGTTTCCATGAGATTTTTGATCCAGGAGGTGGAAAAAGTGTTGCAAATGTGAGTTCTGTCCCTATGGAGGGATTTACTGTAACATCAGCATCCCCTCTGAATGCCATGTCTCCTCTCTCCCTGTCTCCCAGGCGGTTGCCAGCTCGGCATTACGGCCAAGGGTGAGCGCTTGAAACACTGGTATGAATGCTTGAAGAACAAGGACAAGAAGATTGAGCGCTGGCACACCCTCCAAAACGAGAACCACGTTGCCAGTGATTAAAGGGAGCTGCTGCCCCACGCTCCCCAACAGCCCATCCTCTGCCAAGCCCTTGTAGATCTCTGATGTCCGTCTTCCAGCGCAGTCATGCCTTGCTACAGCCTCCGGTCCCAGGGCAGCGATGCTCTTCTGCCTCCTCTGAGCATCCTCCGTCCTCACCTCCACCTGAAAACCAACCCAGACCTTTCATATTCTCTTCCTCTGTTTATTTTTTGTTTTGGGAGGGAGGTCATTGAGTTCCCCTGCTGTGTAATTTTGTCAAGCAATAGTTCCCTCCTGACTGTTCCTCTCTCTCACTGGTCTCACATGCCCTGTGGTAGCGTTCCCGTTGTGTGTCCGATGCTCTGTGTTCCTCCAGCCTCTGCTCCTCTGGCTCATCCCATTGCCACTGGCTTGTGGCTCTGGCATCTCCCAGTGGGATGTGCAGCCACCAGTCTGGCCGTGCTCCTGTCAGGCACTGGGGTGTGGAGTGCTGGTGTTGGAGCATCAGCCTGTTCTGCTTGTGTGATATCGATACCTCAGTTGCAATAATGAAAAAGCTCTTTGGCTTTGGTGTGGGTCGTCACCGTCTCCTGGTGTCTGTGTTGTCATGATTAGGCCAAAGCCTGTGTCACTGATGTAATCCTGCGAGTCCTGCTTGAGCTTTACTTCTGGTTTGGTCCACTTGAGCAATATTGTGGCACATCCTTTGCTGAGAAGATCCACCAATAACACAATAACAGTTATGAGGAATAGGGAGCTCTGTGCTCGCAGGGAAGCAGGTTTGGGTTGGTTCATGTGGTTCCTTTTGCCTGAGGAACTCACACACTGTTGCTGTAGGAGCCCACCCATGTTTCAAGGTTGTGACTACCTCCTCTTCACCTCTGAGCTGTGTAGTAGTGACTGAGCCCTGAGGGCAGTCCCTGGGCCCCCTCAGACCACCCCTCCTGCTGCCGAGCGTTTGCCGTGCCACGCTCAGGAGGGAAGCCGAGGGAGATGGCACTTCCCACCAAGTAGCTGTGTGCAAGGATTATTGCTTTGAATTGCTTCAAAACACCACAACTACTGAAATTAGCTGGGATGTTTAGAGGTCTTCCAAACTTTGGTTGTTTTGGTTTTGTTTTGTTTTGTTTCCGATTCTGCACAAGAACCATTGTCTTCAACCTGCGCTTTAGTTATCTCCTGGAGCTGTTCCATCTGTCCTCGATAGCAGGAGAGCAAAGACATTCTCAGACTGATGCTGGTCAGGTTTGGTACCATTTGCTGGCTCTGGATAACCTCAAGCATAGTTGATAGTAGCACAATAAGCACTATGGAATATATTGTCAGTGGGCTACACACTGAGCATGTTGTATGAAACCTCAGCCCTTCCAGTCCATGACTCCCCGTGCACCCGCTGCTGCAGTCGACTGGGGAGCTGTCCTGTGGCCTGGGCAGCTCTTTCCTTTGAGTTGGATGAGTTGTTTTCTTGATATTTTCTTTAAATAGTCTTTTTCCCCCAGCAGAACTTCCTCTGAATGCTGACACTCTGTGACCGTCTCCGTAGCTCTGTGCCAAGTAATGTCACCAGCTCTGGGTGACACGAACCCCCGTGTGTGGAGTGATGCTGCTGCTGCAGAGCAGCCCTGCCCCAGCCCAGCCCAGGGTCTACACATCCAAGGAGGTCTGTGTTGCCTCCCACAGCCCCCATGCTCCCCAGCCTTGGACCACCAGGTGGGGAAAAAACCAACCTAAACCGCCCTGTGCATCCTCTGCTTTGTCTGGCCTGAGCTGGGAGACCTCTTCCATCACCCCAGACTCATCCTGTGGCACAGAGAGTGTAATGGAAGAGAATACTTGAAAATTTTGCCCTTCTTTCATGGAGTTCTTGACTCTGTGCCAGTAAGAATGAGATCTCTGAACCAGACTGTCCACAACCCAGACTGAAATGACCCTATTCTTTGGGATGGTTTCCCTCTCTGTCCTGTGCTGAAATCTCACTGCTCTGCCCAGCTGGTTCAGCTGGGGGATGGTTGGACTCCAGGATCAATGGATCAATTATTCTGTGCTGCCCTATCCCTCCCTGCTCATCTCAGAGCAGCAGTTGGGCCCAGAGCTATGCTGGGGAAATGGGTAACTGGGGTAAAATTACCTTTAAAAAACATTATTTAAGGAATTCCTCAATGTCCCCCAGCCCTGCAGCAGCCCAGCCTCCTTTGTATGTGCAGAACAACTCAATTAAGGTTGCCATTACCCCGTCCTGTATTGCCATTCTCTGTCCAGCCTGCTTTCCCTTCGAACAAAGGATACTCAAATCATCTTTTTACACTCACAAAAATCAAGTGCAACTTGCCAATCTCCTCAGTATTGTGCAAACCACGGTCCTGGTCTCTGCCACCTTCTTCTCAGTTTTTCTGATGGTAATTTCTGCCCTGAATGACTTCTTTTCGTTGTAAATAAAGCATGCACATCTGGATTGGGAATGGTGAAAAACAACAACAAAAAAAAATAAAAATAAAAGCCTCTTCTACTGCTGTTTGCATTCAAAGTCGCATGCAGTGATTTTACAGCAAAATATCAGTTTACAACTATTAAGAGAAAAAGAAAATGTTACACAGGAACTAGAAATACTCCAGTCTTCCGCTGCATGCAGCACAACATTCTCTCTTGATGTGGTATCTAATAAAGTGAGACTATTGGAAAAGAAAAAAATAAATGTGGTTTTTGGCTTCTTTCATTCCCTGTGGGAATATGAACCCTGTGGGTTCATATGTGGGAATTTGTGGTGGGACATTGGTTTGGGTTTAGGATATTGAGTTTGGGACGGTGGGTGCAGGTTCTTCTATGAGGGAAGAGGTCACAATTCTGCAGAGCTTGGTTTGGCTCCTCTGCTCCTGAGGGGTAGCAGGAATGGTGTTGGGAATATCTGGGTTAAATCTTGGGGATGTTGTGGGGGTCGATCCTTCGTGCACATCCACTTTGTTCCTGGGGGTGAATGCCATGGGGAAAACCATGAAGTTTGTGGTGGTGGTGGCTTCCTTCTGATGCTCCCTCTGAGAGCAAACCCATCCCATGAGAAACCAACCTCCCCAGTTTGGAGAGCATGAGCCTTTCCCTCCTCTGGCTGCAGCTCCTGTTGCTCCACTGCAGGAGAACATCCCACCAGGACCTGCACAACCCAAACAATGATTTCCTCCATTTTCAGTTTTTATGTGGGCATTTTTAAGCTCAGTTTCCAGGGATAGGCATGCTGGGCCGGGGGAAGCCCCTTGGGACACAGCTCCACAGGGTGATGCCCCAGCCCTGGGTTGGTGACATCGCACCCTCCGAGTGGCCCAGAAGGGGAGTGTGAGGCCGAGCCGGGGGGGTGGCGGGTGGCCGGGCTGGTGGCGATGCCCAGAGACAGCAGCAGATGTCACTGGAGCTCCAAAGATGGAGTGGGAAGGAGATGCCAGAAGAATATCCCGCTATTTCCAGGCATGTTGAGAACTTCGGGGCCAACCTCACCCCTCCCTTGCACTGCTGCTAAAGCTTGTTCTCTTCCAGAGCTCTGGTGGCAGGGAAGACTTGGGCCTTTGTCCTCTTGAAGGGGTATTCCCAGGGAAGTCTATCAGCCTTAAAGTTGAGCTTTAAATTCCTTTCATTAGCTTTTTTTCAGCCTTCTTCCCACTGATTTTTCCTCTCTGCTGCTGCCCAGAACGTAGCCAGAGAAGAGATCCCAGTGGAGAGGTCCCAGTGGTGAAGTCCCAGCCAAGAGGTTCAAGTTGAGAGGTTCCATTCAAGAACTCCCAGCAAGGAGGTCCCATCCAAGAGGTCTCAGGCGAGAGGTCCTATCCAAAAACTCCCAGCAGACAGGTCTCATCCAAGAACTCTCAGCCAAGAAATCCCACCCAAGAGGTCCCACTAGAGAGGCCACCCAACTCCAGCTGAAGACTGGGATGATCATCCCCCATACTCCCTGTGCTGTGTTCTACTGCAGGTGACAGAGCACCAACTGTGGTTGGCTGCAAAGTCCTGAATGGAAAAGGCTTCCAAATAGAGAAATAGGGATTTTATGGGAATAAGAGAGGCTCCTCTCTTATTGTCCCCCCTGATTGTTATTTGTCCTTCCCCATTTTCCTGTCAGCTGCTCTGAAAAGGAAACCCTTGGATTGCAATTTGCACTTGAACAGGACCATTCTTTGCCTCTCCTGCTTTTGCAGGTGGGTTTCCAGTTTTAATTACACCTGAGAACATGTGAATTGTTCTGCTGTTCCCACCAGTTTCCTTGTGTGCTAATTAGATTTAGACCTTTGGTGCAATCAATAGATTCTCATCTTGGTCCGGGCCAGGCCAGTCCTGGCCAGTAATTTACAGCTCCGGTAGTTCTGAAATCAATATAGATTTGCTCTTCATTGAGAGGGCTGTAAAATATGGGTGACAGCAGCACTAAGCAGCTGACTTGGAAGCAGGTCCCTTGCTGATCTTGGAGAGGGGCCAGGAAAATCAGAGAGGAAAAGCTACAGGAATGTTGAGCAAGCAGTGGGATGAAGACACTGACAAAGTGTTGCTTTGCCCCTGGAGCAGGAGATGCACAACACAACATGGCCAAATGGCTCCTCTCCAAGGTGCACGTTGCTGCATGAGGTCATGGCAGCACCCACTGACCCAGCCCATGCCAGAATCCCCTAGTGCTGTTTTTTGTCTACCTCCTTGGGGTATCCTTCATTAAAAGAACCTGTTAGGAAGCTCTCACAGCGTCTTGCATGATCCTGGGGCATCACTGAGGTTCTCCTGCTTCGCTGAGCAGGACAGAAACCTTCCATGGCTTTTCATCTTCTGGGGGAAAAAATAAAATAAAAAAACCCAAGCTTTTACTATTTAACATTTCACTTAAAAAATAGAGGAACTCAGCTAAATAAATCCCTTTTCTATCCGCTTTCAAGCCTGGCTTTTCAAAAAGCCAGCAGCTCAAAATCTCTTTATCTCACAGGGCACAGATAACAATGTAATTACTAGCTCGGATCAATGGCTTTCATCTCGTCGGTCCTCAGCCTAAAATAAACTGTTCTTTCACTCAGATGCAGAGCTGGGGCTACAAACTCCTCTGGGCTCCTGCAGAACCAGTTAGGAGAGGGGAAGGTCTGTGGTGGGGTCTGGAGAGACCACAAAGACCTGCCTGGGGGAAGCTGAGGTTTGGGTTGTCTCGTTTCTGCATGGGGAAGCACCTTTTGGGGACATTTTGGGGGTGCTGGGCGATGAATCAGTGACCCTCAATGAGGGTCATGGGCAGGGAGCAGGTGAACTGGGAAGATCAGGCAGCGGGAGGTCGACTCCTGCCTCCAAACCTGAATTAAGCAGCTGGAGTCGAGATGGAAACTGCAGTTTTCTGCTTTTAGAGATCTGAGAGCTCTCTGAATCCATTAGAGATAACTGATTTCTCAGGTTTTCTGGCAGCACTATAAAAAAAAATCCCACAAACTGTCTCCTTTCAAAAACTGCCCAAGCAAAAAGACTCGCCTTGATCTGGTCAAACTGGAAAATAAAAGCAGTGGCAGATAAAAAGGAACAAAAAAAATAAATTTACAGTTGTGTGAAAGGGAATTGCTATTGAGAAGCCTTCAGGTTGTTTGTAGCCAGGATGGGCTGAATTTGAGAGGGAAGGAGCCTGAGAAATTTGTAGGTGTCTCTGTCACTCCTCTTTGTTGCCTGATGAGGGTCAGCATTATTAATTAAGGGCCAGCCAGGCAGAGCTGCAGAGCTGATGGGTATCTACCTGATAAGAGCCTTGTCATGGAAACCCTGAGTGTCACAGCCAAGATCTCAAGAGTCTCAGCAAATCAGGGCTTTATTCAGCCCGAAGACAAAGAGCATTTTCCTTTTAAAATCTAAATTATTCAGCTCCCTGTGACTCCTACTCCTACTCCGTTGTGGGAGGCAGGTGGGATCTCCAGGGGCTGAATTCAGTCTGTGCCTTATCTCCAAAGCTCTCCCCAAGGATGAGTGTTCTTGAGCTCTCACCTTGCTGGAGCTCACACAGCTTTCAACCCCAGCCACTGCTCTCAGGGTGTATTTAATAGCCCAGACTTGCAAACTGGCTGTGATCAAGTGGCTGGAAAGTTTTCAGAGAATAAAAGCCTTTGGAGACAGCCAGGCAGGAAAACTGGGCATGAAAACCTGCATAAGGGAGAAAGTATCCTGCCAGGCCAGAGGATGATAGGTCAAGGTGGGTTATATCCCTGGAGAATAGACTCCTTCCAGCCCTGGAAGTGTCCAAGGCCAGGTGGGACAGGGCTTGGAACAATCTGGTCTAGTGGAATATGTCCCTGCCCATGGCAGGGAGTGGAATGGGATGAGTTTTAAGATCCCTTCCAACTTAAATTGTCCTGGGATTCCATGAGGAAACAGAAGCACGAAGCAAAGCGTTGCTGAACTAAAAACCCAGTAAAAGGGAA